GTTAAAAATAACAGTGTTCTGTGAATGTTGATGCTTTAATAACAAATATTTATCGGGAGCGTGTATGCTGAGATTTCATAAATTTCATGGAGAAAAAAGTAACGTAACTAGTAATGTAATGAATTACTTTTGAAATAAAGTTACTTTTAAAAGGAGTAATCAGTAATCAGTCATTTGATTACATTTTCAGAGTAACTTGCCCAACACTGGTTATGAGTAAAAGTTATATTTTAACAGATTGTTACATGTTTGACTGCAGGTCCAGGGAACTCTGAAAAGGCAGTGGATGCAATACAAGGCCCAGTGGGGTCAGCGACGACGCGAGCACTGCTCCATGAGATCCACCTCCTACACCGCCACCTCCATCACTGAGGTGCCCGCCTTCATGTACCATCATGACTGCAACAGTGAACACTTGAATGGTAAACAAACAGAAGACTCAGAGCTAGTGGCCCTCAAGACGGGCGAGACATACGCATAACCATTTGGCGAGAAAGATAATACTGGGAAAGAAAGTGATTCAGTCAAACTGGAGACTGGAGACTCAGATTGACTGAACGTTCGCAAACTCCCCATCTCAGACAGCACTTAAGCGTTGACACCAGAACATTCAAAGCCTTGTGTTGGCAAAGCCGTTTCTGTTGAAATATTACTCAAGGCTTTGTTTATATTCTCTTCAGCTCTGCTTCTGCGAGTTGAAACGCAAAGGAAACGAAAAAAAGAACTTTTTAAAATGTCATACTAAAGCTTACTTTGCAAAAAAAACCAAAGGATGTGTTGATTTGTGAGATGCTGAGTGTTTCTCTAAAGTCACTGGGAAACGATCCTCCAGAGGACAGGCTGTGCTCATCTGTCTCTGAACAAAGCAAAGTTCTTCTGTGCCTGAATCCTGTTCCTGGTGGTGGTGAAATGTCAAAGGAGGTTACAAAGATTTGTTTGACGGTCATTTTGCATTTGAAAATAGCTTTTTATCGGTCTTGCGAGACTCCTGACTGCTTTATTGTTTTTGCAGCTGTACTTTTCTGCCTCGTCTTTGTTGCGAAAGGGGGTGTGTGGAGGAAAAGATGAACAACATGGACAATTTTAGGACTGCTTAAAAGCAAATTCATCAACCTGTGCATAGATATGCACAAAAATGCATTCTGTAAACAAAAACAAAACAAAAAAATATATATTTAATAAGCTCCCGTCTTTTAGAGTGCAGATTGTATTTATCAAAGTCTGATTTCAAAGCATCTTTTCAGTGTTCTGGAGTGCTACTTTGCCAGCAAGTGCATTTCCTCTTGGAAACCAAAATCCACGTCTCATGAATGCACCAAATTTACTTCACGTTGAACTAGCGATCAATAATCCACTTTTCTTCACTTGCAGTTATTTGACCACAAATTGCTTAAGGGACTCACTGATTTATGCTGAAAATAAGAAGTGCCATATTAAGAAATTAGAGCAAAATAAATTGTGCTCTAAATAAAACATTTATATCGTAAGCTTAATATATATATATATATATATATACACACAAACTATGTGGGGTCAGTAAGATTTACATTTTTTTTAAAAGAAATTAATACTTTTATTCAGCATGTGTGCATTAAAGTGACAAAGAATTTTGCATTGTTACAATTTTTTACAAATATTTTTTTTCTTTTGATCTTTCTATTTTTCAAAGAATCCTAAAAAAATGATCTCCTCACATGTTTCCTAAGAATATGAAACGTGATACTGAAGACTGGAGTAATGTCTGTTGAAATATCATCTCTGCCATCAGAGTAATAAATTACATTTTAAAATTATTATTTTTTTATTATTTTAAATTGTAATAATATTTGATGCTATTAAAAATTGTACTGTATTTTTGATCAAATAAATGCAGCCTTGGTGAGCCTAAGAGACTTCTTTCAAAAATATATATAAAAAAAAAAAATCTTATTGACCACACAATTTTGAACTGCTAGTGATACATGCATACATACAAACACATACATATACTGTAGGTTTGCAAACGTTATTAAAAATCAAAGCAACCCATCTTGTTAAGCCTGAAGAAATAATGTCCTCAGAAATACTTTGGTGTTTTCTGAAACTAAATGTAGAACAGCACACCCACATACAGTATATTTAAGCGTGTGTAGACTGGACAACTGTGAGGATAACAAGACCCTCTTGGCTCAAATCAGCCGCGTCTGGGTGCGTGATGACAGGCAGCTGTCACGGAGTTTGCATTGCCTGTCACAAGAATGCAGTAACAACTTACACAGATATCAAATGCATATGTGCAACTACAATGAAAGTGTTCTTTATAAATGCATCAGTCTCTTCTAAATGAGAATCAATTACCTTATTGTTTAAAGATCACATGCAAAAATCAGTTTAAGGATTTACAGTATAGGAATGCTCACATTTCCTAACAATGTGAATTTATGTATTCAATACAACAACACTCTGGAAACAAGCTTGTCTCTTTTTTTTCTGTACGAAATGTTTATTTTTTGTTACTTTGGAATACAACACTGTACTTTTATTTAAAAGAGATGTTTAGCTGTACATAGTGTGTTGTGTTTCAATAGGTTTGAGGTGAAATTGTGACAGTTGGGTCATTCACTGTGAGCTGTGTCAGTATCTTGGACTTGGTATTTACCATGTAATTGTTTTAGTCTAACGTGAAATTGATTTATCATGGTGTAAATACAGCCATTCATTAAGCTTGTTTGAGCTACAGTTATACGTTTGAAGTCAAAAAGCTACATTTCTTGCTCATGTTTTTAAAGTGTCTATTGCTTTCAGAAAAACAAAATATATATATATATTTTTATTTTGGCAATCTTTCACCTCTTTGTAATTGTGTCCATATGTACAAACTCTGCCTCTACATTGTACATAAAATATGGCTTATATATCATTTTTTATGTGACCCTGTTTATAATTTGCTTATATTTTTACATATGAATATATAATCTCAAGCACACATCCCAAATATTCTTTGCTATTTAAAGCAGGAATTCATCTTACTCATATCTCCGAAACTAAGGCATATGTCTGATTCCCAGCAAGAGCAGGCATCTTCGTTTGGCATTTCAGTTTAAAGGTTTAACTTCATTCAGTGTAATTGACTTTTGTGACTAAGATATGGTTTGATCTGGCCTGAGGGTGTGGAAGCTCAGACAGCAGTTGAGGATATTTCTGGCATAGCCGGTGTCACATCCACTAACCATCAGCCTCTACAGGTGCAGGACTGACAAATGTCCTTTGTTTGCTCCTAGCATGTGCTCTCCTCCCTCTGTCCATTCAGACATGGCCATAAAAACACCTAAACTGATTTGGATAAACATACTTGGTTTTAATGTTCCATCGTTAAAATATTTAGGATGGTGAGAAATCTTCCTAATGGGACTTAAAATAACTGTATAAAGGATAAAATGACAAGTACAACAACATTCAACAAAACATATTATGTATTCTTAATATGATTATTAAGGCACTGTAGCCTTTTTTAAAATAAACATTTGTGTTTTATGAAGAACTTGCCTTAAATATGCCATAAATATCAAATATTTGGCCTTTTTGTTGTCAGTATCATTATTTATGATGAATTTAATGTATATAATGGGATTTAACTATACAAGGTAATGTCTTAAAATATTATTTTAATCTGCGGAGGTTTCAAACTGTTATACGAATCTTCTGTTCTGATCAAACTGATCTGATACATTATTTATGATCTGAGTGATAATTAGGTACAAAGAAACTATGAATACCTGATTGCATTTTTCCTCTTGAGTCACAAAATGCAATTAGTTCATTTGATTTGTGAGTATAAAGGTTTTGTACTGAATCGATTATGTCGTCCATAATCATACACTGAGAATATATCTCAAGTTTCATTCTGAAAATCATTTTTCTTTGTAATCATTTCTTTTCTATCAGTTTCATTTGCTATTGATCCAGAGATGACAGTCTAGTGATGTTGTTGTTTTGTTCAGAAATTTTAATCAGATGTATATATTTATGA